ATTCGCTCGATTTATGTATATTTGGTAACATTATCTCCGTTTATTTTACACTTTCTGTGTCTTTGTTTCGTCGTCGTTTGCATTTTCTATAAATATATATATTTTTTTCATTAAATTTTTGGTACGAACGAAAAAAAAGGGAATGAGAAAAAATCCATTCAAAATTTGAAGCAACTGAATCCAATGAGATGGGATTGTTTGTTTATTGCTGCGTTCGTATTCGTCTCTAAATTAAAACTTTGTATTTTGAATTTTTATTTTTATCACTATTACGAAAAACTTGCATTAAAATATTCGTGTATCAACAGATTAATTTTCGATTTCTTAATTTTTCATTTTAATTTTAATTTTCTCCCGCTGAGAGTGAGAGAAAATCTGAACACACAGTTTATTCATTTCATTTAAGCACTATTACACGATAGATGACAGGGGCCATCGTCACGAGTATCAACCGATTTATACAAATGGTGTTTATTTTGTTACTGTCTGTTTTTTTCTGCCTTTTCTGTATTTACTTTGTTCTTTTGTTTTCTCTCTAAACGGAAATTTAGTAGATGAACGCGACGATATAAATGGAAAACAGGCGAACAAATCGTGAGAAAATGAGAAATGAAAGTAAAAACTGAACCAAAAAAATTTTATGATACAAAGCTCGAATGGATCCTATGTGCAGCTTTTACGTTCAGACATCTGCACGATCCGAAACCGGAACACCAACTAAAAAACAGCCACATACACCCGGAATGGTATACTCCTTGAAAGAGTCTTCGGGGCCAAAAAATGTGTGTGATGATGTTGAATTGTTTCAGTATGGTGTATCTGTGCGAATGGCGAATGTGTGTGTGTATGTGTGGCTGTATTTGAGAGTGTGCAATTTTCAAAAGAGAGCGAGAAAAGCGCGCGCAAGAACCAGGAGACAATTTACATGCCATCATCACCACCATCCATTTTGAAAACTCTCGCTCGTTTGCTCGTTCGCTCGCTCTCTCTCTCTCTTCGTTTATCGTTGTTGTTTCGCTTGTTCGAATCACACAGGACATTGAATCTGACTTTCGGTCGTATGCTATTCGAAATGAAATAGAAATCTTTTTTTTTTACTCGGGCAAGAGTTTTACAGTCATTTGAGAATAATCTCTATTATTTTCAGTCCTTTTTTTCCTATGACATCAGAACAAAATGATGTTTCGCTAAAAAAATCGAAGACGAGATAAAACTGAAAATGAAAAAGTTAACAAAAAATCGAAATTTACACGAAGAGATGATTCGATTCGGCCATTTTCTCTTTTTACTACTTTTTGTATGTAACCGCATGTCTTCGATTGTACCATTGCTCTGCGCGCTCTATCTCTTTCTCTTTTTATTCAATAGTACAAACGGTGGACAGTTCGCGTTCGTTTCTCTTTTTTCGAGATGCCTGGAATGTTTGATGTATACAGCAGCAGCCCATAAACATTAAATTCAACAACATCTTTCACTTTGGTTGGCATTCAGAGTTTGGATGTTGAGCTGAAAGCATGCGTTTCAACTGCTGTTCGAATTATTTTCAGTCTTCATCTCGTTTGTCGTATTTTCGAAACAATCAGTGGCTGCCTCCCATCGCGATGATTACAAAGCAATGGCGTTTAATGCATTTATATTGATTTAAATTGCTTAATTACAGCAATTGGCACCCAATGAAAAGCCACAGTCAAGCCAACCAATTTTGGTGATAATTAAGAAGAAACACAAAACGAAATTTTTTTAATCAATGCAAAGAGAATTAGCATCAATTGATCGATGATTGTGTAATTTTTGCATTTTTAATCTGACCATTATATAACGAAACGACCGCCGAATGTCGTTGAGTTCAGAATAAAGTAAACAGAAAAAAGTATGAAGTTGCACAGCCGACCATTTGGCCGTTTTGCATGTACTCGTTAATTCGGCATTGTTTGCATAGACATATTTCATTAATTTTTGGTTCGCATGAAAATTCTATAAATAGCATGGAGATTTGGAGCATTTAACGCTGGATAATTAACATTACATCGCGATATATACATGAAATACGAAATAACGATGTTCGCATAGCAGAGGTTGTTGTTCACCTGTTAAACGAAGCTTTATAATAGCTGTGCGGTTTTTAACTTTTACTCACCATCTTTATCGTTAAACAGTAAAAAAAAAAAAACGATCAAAACCAAAAATGAACTGCATTGCAGCGCAACCTGAATATATTGTTGAAAGCGACGATTTTCGGGCACAAACTTACCTACAATCAGGCAGGCAAAGATAGGTAGAAAAAGTTAACGTGCAATTGATGCAGCAATTGGAATGGGAGCAAAATAAAACACCGGATCGATTTATTTATTAAATTAAAATAATTTTATTATTGTGTCAATTGGTAATTTGTTGCTGTTTCAATATTTTAAATCTCGGTATTTATTCATTTGTTTGTCATTTTTATATTATGTCAATTTGCCCTCTTCCCTTACTTATTTGTATGTGTGTGTGTGTGTCCATTTTATTTTATTTATTTTTGTTTGTTTTTCTTGAATATAATTTAAACATTTTCTATTTTTTTTTATTTATTTATTTATTTAGATTTTTCTTTAATATTTCCTATAAATGACTTATTCGATTTCATTCTCTGCCGTATTTCTTTCAAATTGTTTGGTTCATAGTTGTTCTTTTTTGTTACATCTTCCTTTTTCTCTGTGTTTGAGAAAGGAAAAGTTTAGGGAGGGAGAAAAGATCACTGTCTTGAAATTCATGGGCTTTGGAATGTGTGTTTAGATGTGTATATGTTAGATTTAAAATTGTCCAAAAAATCAAGAGGGATCATTAAAATATAATCAGATTTCATGGGAGAAAATGTCATTTTATGTATAATCGCATCAATTGTTTTATAGTATTTCAATAATTAACAATCTAGTAGATAATTTTCTTTTTTGCATTTGTCTCATTATCTTATTTTATTTAAAAATTACACATATAATCCATGTGTTTGTATTTAGTTTAACTACAAAAACTTAAGGGATGTTCTTTGTTTGTTTTTTTTTACTTGAGTACTATTCAAAAAATTTGGATTAAATCCAGAATTAAAAAAGCATTAATGTTCGTTCTAAGATTATTCTTCTTAATATTTTTGTCATTTATAGTGTGACATTTCGAAGTGGTGTTTGAAAATGTTTCGAATGTATGACAAAAGTTTCAATGGAATTCTATTATATACTACAGCATGAAGTGCCTTTGGCGCTGACGAAACTGATATTTTTTTGAACGGGAGGATGTAATAAAATTTGAAATCGCTTTGATCTTATGGGAGCATATTTAACTGAAGCGCACTATTTTATAGTATACGTCTCTATATAGATAGATAGATAGGAGATACATGCAATATCAAGTACCATATGGATAAAAATGTTCATGTAAAAATTGCAACTCCTTGAAAAATTCAGGCCAGCTCCTTGCAAAAATTCGTCGGAAATATATAATTTTGTCGTCTTCATTCGACCATATCAAGTGTACATGCATGTCCGAATGTACAGTGAATGATTTAGGGAGATGGATGTCATTTGGTCAATTCGCATTTCATCCATTTATGATTGAAAGTACTATGTTCTTCTTTCAGTTGCTGCTATGAATACATAAGTGAGGACAATAGAAACGACCATATTCATCTAGCGCTTACAAAAAAACCCCTTACACATACAATTTTTTGTTTAAAGCATTATTTAATTACATTACTGGTTTTTAGTGTTGTTTTTTTGTGGTATCACGCCAGAAAATCGACAGCCCGAACAATTTAGTAATGAGTGGTTTGCAATAAATCTACTTGAAATTGTGTTCCCGCTTGTTTTTTTTCACTTCTTAAGATGCCGTTTTTTCGCTTTATTTCCCGATTCACCATATCTCGTCAGCTTTAAAGCACATAACATTTTTTATGGCAGTAGAACCCGAAAAAAAAACGGTTTGCTCAGTGTAAGAAAATGCCGCACTACAATGCGCGTGTGAATAATCGTTACATTTAAACACTATTCTATGTTGGGCGTTGTTTGCATTTCAACTAGATGAATCGAGAAGAAGAAAATAAAACCACATGGAAACGAAATCGAGACGAAGAGAAAAATGGGCAACCAAATTGAAAGAAAATAAGAAAAAAATACCAGCTCAAGTTTGTTGTTTCTTCTGTTAAATAAGCAAAACCTCTGTAATTTTTATTTGTTCACTTTTTCACTTTTTCTCAAATGTTTTTATTCAATATTGTAATTTTCTTTTTTTTTTGTTTAACTACGAACTATTATTTGTTAAATTACTTGTTTTTTTTAAATATTTTTTCTGTGTTGTTTTTGTGAGACTTTTTATAAACTTTAAATGTTTCCCTTCATATTTAAAGTAAAGATACGTTTGCCTAGAATTGAAAAATGTGTGTGTGTTTTGTTTTTGGTTTTTTGTCGCACAAAAAGCGCGGATTTTCATTCTATCCAAAGCGTAGCGAGCGCACACGCACACAAATTTCTATCTCAAGTGCCATACACTTGCACATAAATCACGTATGGTGAAAAGTCAGATTGATCGATTGAAAATGTGATTCAAACCGGCATCATTGTGAAAATGAGTGTAGCAAAAGTTTGAAGCATGTTTTCAACAGCTTTTATGGTGCTTTGCATGACTGGCTTGAGAATGATCTGGTTGTGTTTGCGCTTATGCCTTATGGCTTTTCATCATTCTTCATTCACGGTAAACGCCTCTCTTTGGTTTCTCTCAGTTGAGCTCTAATAATATGGTTGTTGTTGTTGCTGTTTTTCACATCAGTTTCTCTTTTTCTTTTAAAATGGTTTCCGTTTATCGTTACATATTTTTGTTTTTTTGTATGTATTGTTGTATTGAGTGTTATTTCTCTTTTAATTTCATTTTGGTTTATTTTGAAGGTTATAAACTGAGTGTATGTGTGTGTCAAGTGTTTTTCATTTATTTCGTTTTGTGTTGAAATGTGCGCACACGCAAGCTGCTCTATGTAGCTTTTAGATTTTTTGTTATTATGTTTTTTTTTTTTTTCATTCTTTATAGTTTGCTTCTAATCTTCTCTGTGTGACGGAGAATGCGCAGATGTATGTGTGTGTTGCAATTTTTCACTGTTTTTTTTTTCTTCAAATTGCTGTTCTTCCTCCTCTGCTTTTGCTAATATTTGTTTGTTATTTAGTAATAATTACTTTTATAGTTTGTTTCAACTTTGTTTAGTAAAACTCTTGAAATAAAAAAAAAATCCCCAACAAAATAAATAGTAAAAGTGTTCATTGAATTTTTCGACATGTTTGTGAAAAAACAAGAAATAAATTTCAAGATGCGCGAATGACAATTTATCTCAAAATCATGTTTTAAAAAAATGAACTTTTAATCGATCAGATTGCAAATAAATACATGAAGCTGGAACGCTTCTCTTTTATGGCCAAATAACAATCGATATATATATATATAAATATGTATATATTATTCAAAAGAAATGATACACACGAGCATGTCATTTCTTTTGTCTTTCAAAACAAAATTGTTATATGTATTTTATACATATTATATATATATATATATTTAACGGGGGAGGCATTTCATAAACATGCATGCACGTAATAAAACACACAGACAGACGTACATACACACATATTTGGTTTCCATTGGTTGTTGGTGTTGTTGTTTTTCACACGCATCACAGCTCATACATAGCAGAAAGAGTCGAGCCGCGAGCTCGAAATCTCAAACAGGGAAACCCATTAATTTTTTTTTAAAATCCGGATTCTTTTTGAATTGAAAAATTAAAAACCAGAATTAATATACCATATATATATAAAATTAAATGTACAAATAACATGTGATCTCATTACGATTTTCTTATCCCATCATCGTCTTTTCATTCTTTTTGTTTTGGCAAATAACTACTAACAGTGAATTAAAGGCTCTACACAGACACGTAGCGGGCAAGGTTTTTTTTAATAAAATGATTTTTTGTTGTTGTTCTTTGTACCGAATCTATTCCTAATTTAAAAACAAATTTGGAGCAGAGAGAAACATTGTAGAAAATGTGAGCACAAAAACATACGAATCGCGCGCGTGTATGTTGGATACAATGTCCAGCGTACGCGCGAGCAAATTGGCATGTGTGCTGCGAAATAGTCGGTTCATTGCGCACAACAAATACCTGTTTCCCTGGTAGCGCGCGTGACAGTGTTGAATATCTTCAAAAGTGAGCAATCTCATATTTATATAATAATTTAAGTGGATTTTTTTTTGTTGTTGTCAGTTTTTCAGCGCCAATTAAGACTTTTCTAATCGTCCATCACCCCCCGCCATTTTGTGAAGGGCTTAGACATGTGTCGCCTTCTCCTTAAAATGTGTATGTGTGTGTTTGTTTAGTAATTCAATTTTAAGTATTGATTTTCATAATTAAGTATAGTTTTTTTTTATTTAATTAAATTTCTTACGGCCGGAAAAATAATGCTTAAATACTTTTCGTCAACATTTAAATTAATTTGAACACATACGTAGCCGCTTCGTTTTTTTTGTTCATTTTGTTTTTTGAAAGCGTTTTTTTCTGTGTTAGTGTAAGTGGAATTTGGTATGAGAATGAGTGTTTGCTTTGTTGTTGTCTCATTTTTATTTTAATGATTGAAATCGAGAGTGAAAACGACGACGCTACATGTAATAAATACATTAATAATATGTTTTTTTTTATAAATAAGGTTTCTTGTGATCTAATTTCTTCAGTTTTTTTATTCATTAGAATTTATTCTTATTCGAATTTAAATCGATGGCTAAAACATGTGATGTCACTTCTTTAAGTTAATTTATTTGGTTTTTTGTTATTTGGTAAGTACCGGCAATAATTAAATATCATTAATAATAATAATAATTTGTTATTTATTTGGTTTGTTTGTGTCTGCTTAAATTTGCAAAATTTTCACTCACTCTAAATGACTACTTTACAGATTTTACAAGGTTTTCTTTTGTTGTTTTCTGTTGTTCTCATCTATACTTTTGGGTAATTTCAAATAGAATAATTTTTACTCTTAGAAATGATCTCAATGTTACTCTCAATTTCATAAAAAGGGATAAATCTAAACGTAACTCTTTTCTCTCTCGGTGTTGTTGTTGTTGTTGTTGTTTGTTTTGTTTGTGTTCACTCGATAAAACTAAATGAGAAGCAAATTAAAACAAGACGACAAAAAAGATATCGCTTTCTCTAAGTAAGCAAAAAATTGATCAACGTTATACTTTTTTTTGTTTCTTTAATTTTAGCTAAACATTAATTTGTGTCGATTTTGTGAGTTGTGTGTATATGTATGTTAGTAACAATTATGCAGTTTGTTTTTTAAATAGATTTTTTTTGCTTCCATTCCATGATTTTCTTTTTCTCATTAAATTTTATTCGTTAAATGATAAATAAATAATGTTCGTCAATAATAGTCACCTATGTTTAATAAGATCCTAAAAATTATGTAATATCAATTTTTTATCAACACATTTATATAATAAATTATTACATGCTCACTACACCTCTTCCGCACTCGAATCATGTTTCTCTGTGTTTATATGTCTCGGTTTTATGCTAATATATCTAAAATTTTCGTAGATGAAGAACTTTTGGTTTTGCACACTCTCAATTACATTCTTTGGGGCTATCTCAAGCATACAAACACTTTCTATCTCAAATGAAGGGTGACAAGCACAGGTTCATATCGGAAGGAAATGAAACGGTGTATACGTGTGTGCAGTACACATAAACGTCGAATGAAAATGACGACGAAACAAGAAATAGTAGTTTATGAGAGCGTTTGTGTTATGCATAAAGTCGAAGTTCTTCCAACCGAGACGATGACCTTGATAATGTGTAGTTTAGCTCTTACTATAACATTTCTATAACAGCATCTGATGAATTATTATTTTTTTGTGATTTTTTTTTATCTTTTTAATACTTCTTTTGCTATTTTTGTTTTTTTGCATTTGGTTTTTTTTTATCTCCATTTAAATACATAACACATTAATTGGTAGTGCTTTTTGACATTGACGTAATAATTTTTCTTTGTTTTTTCTTTAAATTTCTGCTTTTGGAACGCTCTTGAGACGATACGCACGCATTTTTACCTGGGTTGTTGTTAATGTTGTTTGCGACACAATAACGGACAAAATATTCTTAGTTTGTTTTTTTCTTCTCCTTCTTGTTTGCTGTTATTCTTTAAATGAAACAAACTAACTCTAAAATGCCTAAAAAATAATGTCGAATCGAACACAAATGAGGAATGGGAAATATTACAAATACCACAATTTGTTTTTTTGTTTTTGTTTTTGTATGATCTGCCCGCCGCAGCACTTTTGCCGGCACTAGATGTTCTGTTCTCTTTTTTTTTAAATCGTTCCAAGTTTAAGTTGTTGATGTTTTACTTTTGCTTAGGTTGTTTTTTTGTTTTTTGTTTTGGTATTTAGTATGAATTTCTATTTCATTTTTTTCTCATAGTTTTTTTTTAGTTATGAACTAAGAAATTTAATCTATCATCAATTCGAAGTGGACTGATCCTCTTCGTTCGGAGCGATCGTACTCGATATTTTTGGCCCAGGCTTTGCATTCGATGTTGATGAGTACACCAGCTATTTGAAATGAGAGTGAAAAATCAAAAGACATTTGATTAGTTTTCATGTTTTTAACATCGAGACATGTTCCGTAATAGCTTATTTTTCTACTTATATAACCAAAGAAATGAAGAAATGTTCTAATGGAAATGAATAGCTTACGTTTTGGCCGTTCAAATTGCACAGCAACGACTGGTGGCTGATAGCCCTTAACATTTTGGTATGGGAAATAGTATGCCGGAAAACCACGTCGCGGTGAGTAGTGCACTGGTCCAAGATTTTCCACATCAGCTGGGCTTTCTCCTTCGCAGGATACCCAAATCAAGTTACGCTGTTAAAAAAAAGATACAAAAATCATTTCATTTTCACAATCACAATTTCGCAAGTTGAATTTTACTTAAAAGTTCATTAGAAGTGAATGGTACAAACCTCTTTTGGATCTCTAGTATTAGCGATGGCTTCCTTCAGGAAGTCTGGCATTTTTCGATACTGAGAACGTTCATTCTCGTCGGCAATTTGATTCTCATCAGTTTCGTTGAAGACTCGTGGAGTCCAATTGTAAATCTGATATCAAAAAGTACATAACCATTAGTAACGATTTACTTTAATTACAACCAATTTGGTGTACGAAAAACTAAAAAAAAATGATTTTATATAATTAAGATGGAAACATACCTTATTTAATTTTAAGAAGACGCATGGTTTCTTATCTGGAAAACCATATTTTCCATCCGTTTTAGATGGCGAACAATTCTCCAAGGTTTCGATTCTGAATGGACAGTATTTACCATTTGAAGCTGGATGACTAAAGCTGCATTCATTGTCAATATTATCTTCGAATTTTGGTTCCTTGTAATCTACTTTGCAATATAAGTAAAATAAAAAAAAAACCATATTATTGGATGTCGTTGAAAAGTACGGTAAAATACATTTGAAACAAAAACAATTGGAGGTTTAAGTTAAAATTTACCGTCAAGGAATTTGTTGACTGTGTCATGCCAGTAGATCATGTTGTCGGGACGATTGGATTTATACCAAATCAATGTGCTGCCAAGATGTGCTTCTGGTGGCATTGGACGAAAACCAAGACCTGGATTTGTACCAATTATACTTTCGGCCAACTGCCATTTTGGTCGTTCCAGATCGAGTGTTTGCCAGAATATTGCCAACAAACCAGCGAAGAAACCAGACAATGCAATATAGAATACTACGTAGAACACAAGAATCTTCCCTACAAAATTCAACGAACAAATCAAAATGTAAGCAATAAAGTGACAAATGTTTGACAATTCTAAGTATATATATACGCGTAATCTAAGACGGATGCCAGATGTGAGACAAATATATTTTTTTATCGCTGTGACTTTGAGCGAGGACGCTTACATATTATAATACACAATTTTTTTACGAGAAATTATACAATTTTTTTTTACAACGGATGGATGTGAAAAAAACCCAGCAAAATCCGTTAGTTTATCAGCTCAAAGGTTATTTTTGTTGTGCATTATCTCAATTTTTTCAACCTCAATTGAATTTACATTTGTTTACTGTATAAAAAAGCGGAACAAAATCCAGCTAAAATATAAGTTAACAGAAATAAAAAAAACGCAATTCGCTAAAAGGCAATTTAAATGGCCAAAAAACGTAAGGCTCAAGCAAATATGCAACCAATAGTTCAATGAATAATGTTCGTGCCACGACATTACGTCATAGATATTTCGAGTCTGAATATGTGCTTTGCTGGTTTATTTTTAAATTTTTGCCTGCCTTTTCCGTTGATCGTCACTTAATCATTAATGGTTATATTGCTATCTCAGTCTGTACGAGCTGCCATCGTACAATGTGCTACTAGGACAAAAACGCAACAATAATGTCAAAAACTATAACCCTTTATACGAATAAAAAAAATCGATATTCTCTATTTCATAACACTCATTCTCCGCATGAATGTATGCTTATGAGTGAGTGTATGTGCGTATACACACATATTTCCAACTGTACGGACGACGAGTTGTGGGTATCGAAATGTGTATGGTCGCACAAAATATCGTGTACGCTTATTCTGTCCAGCCGTTGTATGTGTGTATTTGTTTGTCTGTGGCTCCAAAAAATTGCAGCTCGTAATCTGAAGTTTCTTTTTTTCTTTTGTTTTGTTTTTCAAAACTGACAAAAAGACCCTCACAGATATGGAACGATAACTATTGAAAATTGGTAGGCAAAAGTGAGGCAGCAGGCGAAAAATTGAAATAAAATTTGACGGCAATGTTAAATGAAGAATGTAATTCATGTTGTGAAGGATACACAACAGCGACGACGACGATGACGGCGACATCAGCACTACCACTACCACTAACAAACAACAAAAACAACAACAATAAAACATCCCAACATCGACATATATACGTCAGCGTTTCTGTATGTATTCATTATGCATTCCGCTCCAACGCTGTGTGTGCGGCAACACAAAAGTGTATTAGGAATTGCATATCGGTCGGAACGTAAGCGTGCGAATGCTTGGAATTGATTATGTAACACATAAAATCGAAAAATCGCAGCCCAATGTTTCGTTGTTATGATTGTACTCTCTTCCTTTTTTTGAATTTTTGGCTGACGCCACATTTCTGTTGCGTGACAATCATCAATGGAAAAACGAATAAATGTTGAATGCTATTTATCTCTATTATTTCGGATGAAACCGAATGAACCCATTCAGATGGATTTGGTAGGGGTTCATTTGCGAATGCAAAAGATTGCATTGAACGATAATAAAACAAAAAAAGAACTAGCAAAATGTTAAGAAATAGGGTCGAATGATGAGAACATTAACTTACCCCAACTGCCAGCTGTACGGCCGAGGAATTCACTTGTCTCGCCATTCCACATAAATAGTTTAAAACTCTCCCAGCCGGATAGCTTTGGTGGTGGTGTATAATATTGTTCCGTTACTTTTTTATCGGCCATTATGAAACAATCGACTTCCTTCTTATTTCCGCTTCACAAGATTTTTTCTCTGATTTTCCCTTTAATTCTTCTCGTTTTGCGTCGTTCAAGACTTTACTCTTTTGGCCGTTTCTTCTCAACTATCTTTTTTCTTCGATTTTATATTAAACTCAATATTCCGCGGTTTCTTCGTTTGGCTGTTTTGTACTTGTTTAATTGCTGCACCTAACCCGTAAAGAAGAAAATTTGTGTGTTTTGGTAACTATGAATTTTTATTTCCAATAGAAAACAGGGATGAAAAACACTTGGGGACGTTAAAAAAAGCGTTCACTGTGTGAGCGAAAAAGTGTATAGAGAAAAAAGGGCGAACGCCTCATAAAATTTCTATTAATTGCAATTGTAAGTGGAAAAAATTGGATTTTATTTTTTTCACGCGGTTAGTGAAGAATTTACGATATAATTATTTGTTTTTTTTTGGACACCCACGCACTTAAAAAGCTTAAAAAATTTCACTTGAATTTTCCAATATAGAGCAAATGTGAATGTGAAGAGAAAAAAAATCAAAGATGGCCGCTCATGGATATGTTACACCGATTTGGAGGTCTTTGCTTCGGTTTTTCTTTCTTTTTCCAAACAACGAAAAATTTTCACGTAATTGCAACGTTTTAATATAACAAATATGTTTTCCATTTATAATTTACAATTGAAAAGAAATTAAATCAACAAATATTTTGCACAAAATTTTCGTTTAAAAAATAATAATTTTCCTTTACCAAAACCAAGCAAAACGAGAGATGCTATACTCGATGTATGTGAAATGATTTAACCAGCTTCACAGCAACTTAACAAGTGCCATAAGGCGGCTCTGGTAGCAAAAAATCGACAATCGAATATTTCACTCGCTCTCTTACTCTCTTTTCGCGCGCTGTATGTGATTCGATTCTCTCTACACGAATTTTACGCTCACACGTTTGCTCTCTCTCCGTTCGAAATATATGTGCCACTGTGTCTAATGAAATCCACACATGTACTGCTGTACATTCAATCGTTGAATTGTGCTTGCAAATTCTCTCTTTCTCCGTCTATAAATTTCTCGTTGGCAATACCATGTTCTTTTGTAAGCATAAACATATATTGTATACAGTACATGACGAGAGTATTCGTTTGTTCGCTATCTTTGTTTGTGAGTATGAGTTTCTTCCACACTCTCCGGTTCTGTTCAGATTTTACGCTCTCTCCGAAACGTATCTCTTTCCTTTTCTCTCTCAAAAAATGATGACGACATCCATGGCCGAACGATACGTGTGACCCTCTGAAAAAGTTTCGTCAGTTGTGCTTTTGCGCACTGAACGGCTATGCGCATTATTGAATATTCAAAGCGAAATTAAATCATTGCCTATGCACGAATACATCAACAAATACATTTTATGCACACGACATTCTGGCTCCAATACATCGTTATATCATACATCGAACTAATGTAATGCTGCTGTATCAGCCGTTTTAATACTCAGCCACTCTTTGTTCGCTCACTCTCTTTGATGGTTTTTTCTCTCTGTTACACATTCCAATACATACATGGCCACGTGAACCGATTCTCTTTCAGTCAGAATCAAATTTGCAACCCCAATTCATTTGATACATATCTCGAGCTTCGCTTTGTATGAGTAAGGATTCTATCTTGTCTGTATGACTACTATGCCTGTATGTATCGTATGTATACACGACATTTTCATGAGCAATACTCATTCCGATTCGGGTGCGGATTGTATACAGAATATTGTAGCCTGTGCTCTGCCTAAATGTATATATGGACGGTCGGATGGATGGATGGATGGAAATAATCGGGTGTATATGTGCCACAGAGAGTGCTTTATATTGCCTCCTTGAAAATGATAAACGTGTGTAGAGTGCGGGCGATTGCATTTCATGCTTTTTTCCTGTTGTTCCTTCGTCTTCTGTTCATAACACACAGACGGGGTGTGTGTGTGTCAAAGCAATTCGACACAATCAAATTACATCGTTTGTATAAGCTTATAGAAGCAGCACATTTACTTGAAAGCAGTGTGTTGTATTTATATAAATTTTCCTGCAGAATGTTCAGTGAAAAGCGCGTGCTCTTCTATTTCGATCGACTGCGTCAAACAATCATCGAATGTACATCGAACAGCGCACGTACTCATTAGTGGTTGGGGTTTTCACATCTATATGTGTGCTATACCGTTTGCAATATATTCTTTACCGTTTATGTGTGTTAGTTGGCCGCTTATTTGTATGTGTATCCACGGACTGGTTCTACCTGACGACGGCAACGACAACAATAACGACGATGGGGGAATTTATGCTGTTGGTGTTGCTTTTTTATTGTTTCGGCTTACTTTCGTGCATATTTCGTATCCTAATGCTTATTTTATTAACTGTTATGGAATTTTTCGGCATGAAACCACTGAATGCTTGGTGTATAATGTGCGAAATGAGAATTGCGACCGTAACAACTTTGAGCGCCTCTTCTATTCTGTTTAATTTCATATTTCCATTGAGTCTCTTCACCGAATGGCACTCAAACTCAGCGACAAAAAATAATAATTTGTTATTACATTTCGCAAATCTTCTTCTTCTTCTTCTTTTTCTACTGCTTCAATGTAGTTACTTACCCGTTTTTAATTCTCTTTGAGTGCAATCATAAATATTTGTCCGGGAATATTACTCGATTTTATTTAAATTCATGACAAGGCATGTGAACACCAAAACATACAAGAAGTGTTCTTTTTCATTGCGAATATTGAACTTATATTCTCGTAAATGATTCATGATGACTGATAAATGGATTGCTCTTATATAATAGTCGTTGAAACGAGTGTGAATGGATTGTCGCGGTTATATCATTCAATTGAGTTCGTTTACGAATCACCACCGCTTAGACGGTTTGATTTTCAAAATCAAAAGTAATAATAGAAGGACAGAAATAGATAGAGACAGAAAAAACCCGATTTAAATTGAAGCTGGCAAAATTGATGCCTGGAATATAACGATGTTAAAATTAATGATATATTTTTTTCTTAGTTGTTGACGAAACAATTGCGTGTCGAAGAATCGACCGAAATGAACAAGAGATGAGGCCGACCGTCCGACCGCAGACATAAAACGGCTGTTTATTTGCATTTAAATGAAACAAGAATATGAGTAGAGAAGAAAACAATGACTGTAAACTGATGAGGGAATAAAAGAAATTCTCTGCAGTGGCCCTTTTTCAAATCGCAATAGAAAATAAACATGAAACATATATATTGATGTCAACGACGATGAAAAACGGCTCGATGGATGGCTTTGAAATTTGAGAATGAATAGAAAAATGAAGAATTCAACAGCAACAACGCCAACAGTGGGAAATGATGAACGGTTGCGATGACGGATACGACAACGCTGCACAATGTGCGGAACGCGAGGACAAAGCAGATTGTTCCAATGAAGGTTTTTTTTTGCTGTTGAACACTGCTTACGGCTTTGCTCTTTGTATGTTATGCAAATTTAATTGGATTTAGTTTGTTTTTCTTTCGCTTGACTGCCTGCCTGCGTGCTTGTCTCTTTCTATTACTCTCTTTTTTTTATTCTTTGTTCATTTATTCCCAATTTACCATCGAGCCCCTCATCAAAACTCAGAAAACTAAAACGCAGAAAGTAATACGCAGAAACTAAGACGCAAATAAATAAATAAAAAGTGTCGTAAAGTAAGCAATCGCAGTAGTCGATTGCGATTTGTAAATATATTTTGAAAAATAATACTCCAGTTTTTCTCTTACAAAGAAACAAAAAATAAAAATTCAAATGGTTTCTATGCTTAAATGTTTCTGTGTTTAAAATTTCGTTTTCTGCATTTTGAAGCCATACCGTTCATATACATTGCTCCGGTGCGGAGATTGAAGTTTGGAATCGCGTTTTTATTGCGTTGCTGCAATAATATGCATACTAATTTTCGAACTATATGTACATAAATTGTCGAAAATTAATTGGCTGAGTCACACAATACAGGAAACAGGCGTGAATATGCGATACAGAAATGTGAAAAAGCAAACAGCTTCTTTTATAATTCATCGATATGCCATATACCGTATTGTACACAAAGGGTAAGAAATGATGGTTAAAAGATTTATTTAGGTACGAATTACATCGGAGCAATAATTTCCACCAGAATCATTTTTCAATTGAGCGTACAATACGAGCCGTACATGAGTCATACAGCTGTGCTCTCGTGCTCTCTTCCCCTTGTCACCATTGACTTCGTCTTTTGACATGGCTTCAACATGGGCCGCATACACACATGCATTATGCGATAGCATTCATTGGTTTACCAAACTACCATTTTTCCTACATTTCACAGGAAAAACCACCGCATTTTTGGAACATAAAATTGTTATCTAACCACACATAAAGCTCTCTTTGCCGCCAAAATTCCTTTACGATAATAATTTTGGGGAGTCTTATGAAATCGATGCCATCGAAAAATAGCGATGTATTCACAATACTATTTTGCGCACATTTGTTAGCTATAAATGTAAATGCGAAGTTACTATATATTCCCCAAACAAAACCAACCAACGAGTGAACGAACGAACAATGCATAAATTAATTCATTCAGTTGAAAAATTCCATTTTAATTGAAGAATCATTCGACGTATGTACATATATGTATTCATTCGATGAATTAAGATAAACGTAAATAGAGACAAGTGAACACATTTTTGGTAAAGATAAACATAACAAACGCAGCAGTAATAGTGGCGGCATCCATACAGAAAAAGACAAAGACCATTCTGAACAATGTGTGAAAATGTATTTGAACGCAATATAAATAATCGCGTTCGTCGTTGTTTTACACAAGCCGCACCAAAAACGCACTAATACTAAGATTAATGGTCGATTGCAAATTACAAAGATGTCATTTGCCAGATTCTTCACGACGCAAAAATATTGCTATGCGCTAAATCTTATGCTACGTAAAATATGTGATATAGACGAGCCATCATCATGTTTCGTATTCGGTTTCTTTTGTTCTGCTGCCCATTTCGATCTTTTGTTCGGTCTTTAAGCACGACATATAAACTCGAATCTCATTTTTCGACATTTCTGGTTTATCTAAGCTAACATTTTTCATGAAATATGTCTAATGAGAAACTCAGCAAATTGAAATAACAATAATTTTGAAGATATTCGATTTCATCGTGGTCGTCACCCGTACAAAAAAAGTAAATTGATGAATGACAAAGATAGTCTACCAGAAGTGCTTCTTTTCTGAGTTCCAGAGTAAGTGATAAATGTTCGCTTTAATTTTGAAAAATTATTTTTTACGCCAAAATAAATGATATGATGCTGTTCTCTGGTGCACACTTTCGTAGCGACAACAACAGTGCTGTTGAAAGTACATATGAAAAGACTATTGGAGATAAACGTTTAAATATTTTTAATATGCATCAATTAAATATCAATAGTAAACCGTTTCTCAGACGCAAATCTATTTTAAAATTCAATGCACGCAAGTAGAGACGCCAGCGCACAATAAAAAGAATTTAGCACACAATCACATATCACTGAACACAAAATATTATGTAATATGATTTTCATTCGCAAAACAATGTGAATTATTTGGTTTGGTTCAATATGTGAAACAGCCGACCATTTTTATTTGATTGTATTGCTAATTGATTTGTTTTCAATCGATTGAAATCTGTCAAACTCTATCTATTTTCAATTGGAATGTTATGTGTTTTGCATATTGCATGCTGATGATAATTTTGCTAATTTTCAGTATGTACATTTATGAAGTTCAGTGCTCGTGTACTTTTCATGTGAACGAATATGATGTGTGAGCTAGGTCGGCGATAAATTGACTCGATAATAAATTAG